GTGGGAGAGCAGATGCATAGAATAAGTCTTAATTCGAGTAACTTAGTCTAGTCCGGATTGCTCCCCACAGATCCCCCTTTCTTTTTATTTTTTAGCATTGATACGCGCCTGTCTTCGGTGTCCCGCGGCACACACTCTGCTCTACTTGCTAGAGAACTTCCACTCTGATTACGACCTTGTCTAAATATGATCAGAGTCAGTGAACTCAAAAGGCTTCCATAGCTTTGGCAACTCATGACAAGAGCCTAGGGCGATTACTGATGCCATAAACAAGAGTGTCAATTTGTTAAGTCAACAACAGGAGTCACTGTGCACTTACTCCTCATGTAGGATCTCTGTCCTTAATGTGCTGTACATTGTGATTTAATGCTATAACTAATACTCAAACAGTATTTTTCACTTTGTGTTTCTAAGTGTGTGCAAACTGTTGAAATCTTTACTTAATATATGCTAAACTGATCTTCTGTATATAAAGAGAATCGAAAATGAATCTTGATGTGAATGGAAGGGGAGAGGGAGCGGGAAAGGGGAGGGTTGTGGGTGGGAGGGAAGTTATGGGGGTGGAAGCCATTGTAATCCATAAGCTGTACTTTGGAAATTTATATTCATTAAATAAAAGTTTAAAAAAATGATTTGGCTGGATGAAAAACTCTCTAGGGATTTGAATCTATCCTCTGAATTTGACCTTCTGAGATTGAGTTCACTTTTGTTATGTAAATATTAATTGTAATGGACCTTGTTTCCAAGAAGTTATGTATATTTCTCGATTAACAAAAACATCCCAACAAAGTATGATCATGGAAAATGGTAGCTGCAGTTCCTATGCACTTGTAGTGCTACAAAATGTTGGGCTCTTCTGTTGAGTATCATTATGATTCATGGGTGACATATTTCTACTGCCATTAGAAGGCTTGCAAAATTAAGCTAGAATTACCTCAGTTGACTGTTATTAGCTAAAGCTTCAGAATCCAGTTCCAAAAATAAATCCTTGTAATGATAGACTCCAACAGTTGTACAAAGCAGGCTTTTAGAGATAGGTTTCTGGAAACTAAATATTACTTGCTGTGACAAAGGACCTATCATTAATAGATATCCAGCCCAGACCAGTTAGATGGATTTCCTCTTAGCAATGTGACAATGTTTTTGAAGTAGCATAATGACACTAGCAATTGTGCACTGTGTTTTTTTTTCCTTTACTGAAAGTCCTCTTGTTGTTGTTGTTAAAGAGGCATCATAGTTTTATAAACATTTTCCCGTTCATACCCAATGCACTGAGTATTTTTAGAAGGTGATGATGGCATTTGATTAAATCCTGACAAGGTGCAGTAACTGAGTTTCACACATGGGAAAACACTGATGAAATAAGAAGAGGCTCCTAGGCCCTTTCACGCCTCCAGCTTTGTGCTCTGGCTGTTGGTATGAGCACTATCTTGTTTCAAAGCCATCTCAGATGTCAATGTTTCCTCAGTAAATAAAGAATCATTTATGAGTGCTACATAGCATGAAATACCTTTTGTAAATTTGTAGTGAAATATATAGAGAACACAAAATTTACCATCTTAACCACTTTAAGTGTATGTCAGTTGTAAATACACTCATAACGTTGTATAACATTAACAAATCTCCAGAACTCATTTTATCTTGTAAAATTGAAACCCGAAACTCATTAAAAACAATACCTCAATTTTTCCTTCTCCACCAGCCACTGGCAACCACCATTCTGCCTTCTATTTCTATGGATTTGACTACTTCTAGGGCTCTCTCCTCTTATAAGTAAAATCATACAGTATTTGTCCTTTTGTGTCTGACTTAATTTCACTTTGCATAATATTCTGATACTCACTTATTCATCAGTAATAGACGTCTGAGTTCTTGGCCACTGAATAATGCTGCTATGAACACTGGTGTGGAAACATCTCTGAGACCCTGTTTTCAATTCTTTTGGGTATAAGCTCAGAAGCAGATTTCTAATTTTTTAAAGAATTGCCTTATTGCTTTCCGCAGTAGCTGCACAATTTTACATTCTTACCAAGAATGAACAAGGATGTTGATTTTTCTACTTCCTAACGAATACTTGCTATTTTCAGCAATTTTTTCTTTTAGTAGTAGCAACCCTGTTAGGTATGAGATGGTTATCTCAATGTGATTTTGACCTACATTTCCCTGATGATTTGTAATGCTGAGCATCCTTTCATATGCTGGAGGGTCACTTATATATCCTTTTTAGAGAAATGTCTATTAAAGCCTTTTGTCCATTTTTGAAGTCAAGTCATTTGTTTATTGTTGTTGAATTATAGGAGTTCTTTATGTTCTCAATGTTAACCCTTTACCAGATATAGGACCTGGAAATACTTTCTATAACTCCATAGGATGGTTTTTCACTCTTTATATTGTGTCTTTTGATGCCTAGAAGTTTTTAATTTGATACAGTCATCTATTTTTACTTTTAAAAAACATTAGTTTAATCATTTATTTAAAAGGTGGAATAGCAGAGAGAAAGAAGAGAGACCCAAAAAAGAGATCTTCCATCTGCTTGTTCACTCCCCAAACGGTTGCAATGGCTAGGACTGGCCCATATCAAAGCCAGAATGTAAGAACCCCATCCTAGGTGGCAGTACTTGAGCCATCTTCTGTTGCTTTCTTGGACATATTAGCAGAGAGCTGGACTGGAAGTAGAGCATCCATATTGGTGTGCTGGTGTTGCAAGCAGCAGCTTAATCCACTATGCCACAATTCTGGCCCCTATTTTTATTTTTGTTGCCTGTGCTTTTGTTGTCATCTACAATCAATCATTGCCAAATAGAATGTCATGAAGCCCTCCCTCTATGTTTCCCTCTAATAGTTTCTTAGGTTCAGCTCTTGCATTGAGGTCTATGATCCATTTTTTAACTATTTTATATGGTCAGTGAGGTTCCAAATGCAATGTTGCATGTGGATAATCATTTTTCTCAACATCATTTATTGAGTCTTGAAAAACCTTTTAAAACTTGTCCTGGTGCTTTCAAATCAGGCTAGTACTTGAGAATTTCAAATCTGAGGCACAGTATCTTTCTAATGACAAACAAGAAGACATAGCATTTGGAATCTTATCATCTTCTTTATTGGTTCTAACAGCCAAAAAGCTGAAGCATAAAAATCTATAAAGAGGAAATAACCTTCTCTCTTTTTTTAAGTCTTAAGCATTCTAGCAAAGTTTTTTCCTTAAGATTTCCTTTATTTATTTGAAAGGCAGAGTTACAAAGAGAAAGAGACACATATAGTGAGAGAGACCCAGAGAGAAAGAGAGAGAGAGAGAGAGAGAGAGAGAGAATCTTTCATCCACTGGTTCAGTCCCCAAACAGCCACAATGGCTAGGCTGGGCCAGGCTGAAGCCAGGAACCAGAAGCTTCATCCTGGTCTCTCATGTGGGTGCAGGGGCCCAAGCACTTGGGCTGTTTTCTGCTGCTTTCCCAGATGTATTAACAGGATGCTGGATTGGAAGTGGAGCAGCCAGGACTGAAACCAGTGCCCATATGGGAAGTTAGTTTTGCAGGCACAGGCTTTACACACTATACCACAAAACTAGTCACACTAGCAAAGTTTAATGAAGATAAATAATAGAGTACACCTGACAGGTGGGAATTTTCTCGGTAAAGACAGAGCCAGTATGCATTCAGACTACAGTTTTTGTGGATGTTTGTGTGGGCCCTATTTCTCCTCCTGCTATGCCCTTTCTGAAATATTGCTGGGTGGAGGGTTTTCTGGGTGTGGAATGAAGCAGTACAGATGTGTGTGTAAGATTCATGAAGAAATCCATGCCATCAGGGGTAACAAATGGAGAATATTAGATATAGGGAAACAATGTTGGCCTTCTTGCTGCAAAATTATATGCCTTCCTTATGTTTGTGTGTGTATATATATGCTGGATATACAATTTAATAAAAAAAAATCCATCAATCATAAACTGAAAATTTCAAGTTAATAATTTGGGAACTTAACATGAAAGTCATATTCTGCTGAATATACATTTTATTCTATCATCATGCAGCCATTACAACATTGATTTGATAAATGGAATAGTACCTGACAGGAAAACTGTTGCTGGGTTCCTGCTTCCAGTGTAATACTGAAGGTGCTTGTAGATGTGGAAGAAGAAACTGGAAAGTGATGAGCTACACTGACTGGCACCGGAATCCTGTCTGGTTTGGTCAACTGATCTCTGACTGAGCTTGACACCACTGTGCCAGATCTAGATCTTGGATGACAGCGCTGGATAAGCTATCGGCAGGGAACCAACTGGCTTCCGGCTTGCATCACTGAGGACGTAATACTGAAGCTGGGTTTTCCTTAAGAGAGATTGCTCTTCTGGGAAACAGACACGAAGATGCAAAAGGCTGAGGTTATTAGCATTGTGGTGTCGCAGGTTCAGCTGTCAGTTGTGATGCCCACAAGCCATACCTGAGTACTGGTTTGACTCTGGGCTCTCCACTTCCAATAGAGCTTCTTGCTAATGCATCTGGGAATGCAGCAGCAGAAGGCCCAAATAATTGGGCCCCTGCCACTCATGCGGAACACCAGGATGATGTTTCTGGCTCCTGATTTTGGCCTAGACCAAACCTAGCTGTAAAGGCCATTTGGGGAGATAGAAGATCTCTCTCTCTTTCTCTCTCTCTCCTCCTCCCCTTCTCCCTCCCTCCCTGTCACACTGCATTTCAAAAAAAAATAAATACATGAATAAGTAACCATAACAGCTGCAAAAGGTTGGTTGCGAAGGCATCTGTCCACCAACAATCTGAGGAGAATCATGACTGCGTATCATTGAGCTACAGAGGCAGTGAATGACTGGATGGTAAAATTCTGGTTCTTAAGCATTTGTGCAGAATATGGTTGGTTGATTCTGAACACAGTGGTAGAATTTATTTATTTATATATTTTTAAAGATTTTATTTATTTATTTGAGAGGTAGAGTTACAGACAGTAAGAGGGAGAGACAGAGAGAAAGGTCTTCCATCCACTGCTTCACTCCCCAAAATGGCCGCAATGGCTGGAGCTGTGCTGATCTGAAGCCAGGAGCCAGGTGCTTCTTCCCAGTCTCCCATGTGGGTTCAGGGGCCCAAGCACTTGGGCCAACTTCAGCTGTTTTCCCAGGCCATAGCAGAGAGCTGGATTGGAAGAGGGGCAGGCGGGACTAGGACCGGCACCCATATGGGATGCTGGAGGATTAACCTGCTGCGCCACGCACCGGCCCCAGTAGAGTGGTATTTAAAATGACATACTCTATTTCAGGCATGGAAAGCCAAGATATCTGGCAAAAAAAATTGGCCTAAATGAAAGATCTCTGTGAGTGAGATCCCAGCAGAAAGAACGGGCCATCAAAGAAGGAGGGACCTTTCTCTGAAAGGAGGAGAGAACTTCCACTTTGACTATGACCTTGTCTAAATAAGATTGGAGTTGGCGAACTCAAGAGGCTTCCATAGCCTTAGCAACCCATGACAAGAGCCTCAGGTGATTACTGATGCCATAAATAAGAGTGTCAATTGTTAAGTCAACAACAGGAATCACTGTGCACTTACTCCTCATGTAGGATCTCTGTCCTTAATGTGTTGTACAATGTGAATTAACGGTATAACTAGTACTCACACAGTCCTTTATACTTTGTGTTTCTGTGTGGGTGCAAACTGTTGAAATCTTTACTTAGTATATACTAAATTGATCTTCTATATATAAAGATAATTGAAAATGAATCTTGATGTGAATGGAAGGGGAGAGGGAGAGGGAGATGGGATGGTTGTGGGTGGGTGGAAGGTTATGAGGGGGGAAAAGCCACTATAATCCAAAAGTTGTACTTTAGAAATTTATATTTATTAAATAAAAGTTAAAAAATAAAATGACATACTCTGAAAGAGCTGGGAAGGTTGAATATAAAGATATTAGCTATTTACAGTTTTAATGTAGTATACCAAGTTGGAGGGATGCAAAGGCATGAAGGCATAAGGAACTGACTTTAAGGTTCATGAGGCTGGACATGGGAGAATGAAAATTGATACTTCTAGTGCTGTTTACTGATTTTCCCGTAGTCTCTTAGCTTACAATATTTACATATAACATGGCCCAACTACCTAATCACTGGGGTGAGTTTAGATATGAAAAAGGGATTCCTTGTTGTATACAATGTGATTATATGTTCAAATTGTTCACAGTGGATGATTTTGTTGATCCATATAGACAAGCTTCAGATGGGTATTAATAGGGACTGTATTGCAATTTGGTGCAGGATCCTTTGATATGATGATGTTATAAACAGGAAAAGATGTTTGAAAATCTGGGCTAATAAATGGGCTGCTCTCAGGTTATGCTACTGTACTACTCAGATGTTTTATGGACCAGAAGCCCTCCAGTTGCATTTTTTAGGGCTTTCTTTTCTCTGCCTTTTAATATGGGGCCATTTTAAACGTTAATGGAAAAAACACAACTAAAAGGAAGAGCTTATTTTGGTGCAATTTTTTATGTAAAAAATTTCCTTTTCAGACTATGTGGAAAATACATATTTTGAAAATAGTCTGCATAGATTTCAAAATTGTTTTACTCCAAAATGAACTCATTTTAAATTTCATTTTTCATTAACATTTTGAAGTGCCCAAAAGATGTTAAGTATGTCTATAATATTAATAGTCAGCATAGAAGATAGATTACCAAAGAAGCCAATTAAATATATCTGACCAATTAAATATATTCCTCAGACTGTTATTAGAGAAATGTTGGCTGGGAACACTGATTCCCTCTTGTTGTCATGTTTACACTCACTGTATTACTGACAAATCATGCTCCAACAAATGTGTGAGTCACTGCTACAGGGGGGCAATGTCAGATGGAAGTAATTGGAAGCACCCAGGCTATGCAAAGGATGTTGATGAAGAAGAATGAAACTGAGCTTGTGAAAATAGTTGACTTGCATCCAAAATGCCTCTTTGCCAGTGTCTATTCAGTGATATTTGCCTCCTCTCAAGAATGTCAAAAAGCTGGAATTCACTCAAATAAGAAAGGAAAGACTGGAGCTCTGGCACAGTGGGTTAAAATACTGCCTGCAGTGCTAGTATCCCCTAAGGGCCCTGGTTGAAGTTCCAGCTGCCCCACTTCTGATCCAGCTCCCTGCTAATACACCTGGGAAAACGGGGGAGCCCACAGGAGAGACCTGGAAGAAGCTCCTGGCTCCTGGCTTCAGATTGGCCCACCTCTGACCATTGCTGTCGGAGGAGCGGCACCGGCAAGCTCTCCGACCAACTCTCCAGGGGGGCGCGGCCGCGCATGTTGTCTCTCTCCCCCTTTTAAGGGGTTGGGCCAGGAACCAGCTAATTGACAAGGCAGCTGTGTGAGATTTGTTTACTCTCTCTCAGCGCCATATGATGGGAGATCAGATGCATAGTTAGTCTTAATAGTCTCAGTGGTCTAGTCTAGTCTCGGCAGTCCCAGCACCCACTTCGCCATGTTGCGGGAGACAGGCCCTGCTCCCCACATTTTTCTCTGCCTTTCCCTCAGTCTGTAACTCTACCCCTCAAATAAATACGATCTTTTAAAAAATGAAAAATACTTTTTCCAGATATACCAAAGCTGAATGAATTAATCATCATCAGATCTGCACTGCAAGAAATATTAAAGGAATCCTTCCAGCAGAAGAAAATGGTATCAGAGAGATATCTGAATATACTCAAAGAAATGAAGGGCACGGCAAATGTTTCCAGAGATGAAAGTGTTGATTCCTGTGTTTCTTATATTATTGTAGATCCACAAGCACTGATTTACCTCCCACATGGACATAGTAATAGATCTAGCAATAATGACTTGACTATAAAAGGATATATTATAGCTATCACAAATCTCATTTTCCTAGCTTTAGTAATGTTGATCCTAAGTCATTCCTCAAAGGAGAAAGCAACTGACTTGTGAAAGGACCCAGCCATGGCCTACCACTAAAAAGTAGCTTTTGGTTTCTGAACTTGAATCTTCTTTTAAAAAAAAAAAATTTAAGATTTCTTTGAAAGGCAGAGTTAGAGAGAGAGAGAGAGAGAGAGAGAATTCCCATCCAGTGATTCACTCCCCAAATGACTGCCATGGCTGAAGCTGGGCTGATCCAAAGCCAGGAGCCTGGAGCTTCTTCTGGGTCTCCCACGAGGGTGCAGGGGCCCAAGCACTTGGGCCATCTTCCACTGCTGTCCCAGGCCACAAGCAGAGAGCTGGATCAGAAGAAGAGCAGCAGGGACTTGAAGGGATGCCAGTGCCACAGGTAGAGGCTTAGCCAAACACACCACAGCACAGGACCCTTGCCTTCTTTTTTGACACATTTTCACTGGATACAGAAATCTAAATTGGGGCTGGCACTGTGACTTAGCAGGTAAAACAACTGCCTGCAGTGCTGGCATCCCACATGGGTGCCAATTTGAGTTCTAGCTGCTCCACTTTCAATCCAGCTCCTTGCTAACATGTCTGGGGGAGCAGCAAAGATGGCCCAAATACTCCCACCAAAGTGAGAGAACCTGGATGAAGCCCCTGACTCCTGGCTTAGGTCTGGCTCAACCCTGGCTGTTGGCAGCCATTTGGGTAGTGAACCAGCAGATGGACGTTCTCTCTCTCCCCACGTCTCTCTCTCTCTCTCCCCCTCTGCTTCTGCAACTCTGCCTTTCAAATAAAGAAATAAAATCTTTTAAAAAGTCTAAACTGACAGCTCTTTTTCCTTCAATACTTTAAAGATACCATTCTACTGTTTCTTTCTTTCTTGCATTCTTTTCAGTGAGAAGTCTTCTGACATTCTTATCTTTGTTGCTTAGCATATGGCATGTCTTTTTATTCCTTTGGCAACTTTCAATTTTTTCTTCTTTACCACTGGTTTTAAGCAATTTTATTATAATAAGCTTTTGTTTACATTTCTTCATGCTTCATACATTTGTAGTTTCTTGAGCTTCACAGCTGTGTGGGTTCACAGTTTTCCTCAATTTGGGGCAAAAAACTGGCCATTACTTCATCAAATACTTATTATCCCTCTCTTTGCCTTCAGGAACCCCAATTACATGAGTAGGAGGCCACTTGAAGCTTTCTCTATAATAGCTGATGTTCTGGGTTTTTTGCTTGTTTTTTTTTAAAAACACCTTTTCTCCTCTTATGCTTTTTAAATATACATTTTAAAATGGCACCACTTTCTGAAGCACAGTGTCAAATGTACAAAACGGAAAACCACCCTTTCTGCTTTGGTGATGTGAATAAAGCCTTTGATCTACACATAATGCAGCTGTGTATAAGGTGAAGCAGGAAACTGAAATGATTAAAAGCCTGGGCTCTGAAGCCCATAGCTTCACAGTACATGTACTCGTTTCTTTACTTACTAGTTCTGTGACCTTAGCCTCTTTCTGCTTAGCTTCTCATCTCTAATATGGAGGTGGTTTTAGTAACTGCCCCTTAAAAGTGTGGTAATGATCTAGCTTGTATATATGAAGGACTTGGAACCATGCTGGGTACATAGTAAGCACCCAGTTAACATTAGCCATCATCACTAAATTTTACAATTGACTTGGATAAAACCTCAGATTAACCAAACTACACTCTCAAGGGAAGAGGTCTTGGGTTTGTATTTTAAATAAGTATTCTAGCTAATTCTTACATTCAGGCAACTTTAGGATACACTCACACAACCAATATCTCTGAAGACTGGATCATATAAATGAAAGAGCTCTCCTCTGTAAAAGTCTTCTCCCAAATGCACTGCAAGAAAAGAAAAAAATTGTCCTATTTTACATAATATGCAGTAGTGTGCCACAGCCTTTCAAGCATATAGGAAATCACTATTGGGTCTGTTTTCCTTTCTTTGAAAGCAACAAAATAAGTAACAAGGACTAGGCAATGTGCTGTAGTGGGTAAATCTGCCACCTGAAGCCCCGGCATGCCATATGGTGCCAGTGTGAGTCCCAGGTGCTCTACTGCTGATCCAGATCCCTGCTAATGCACCTAGGAAAGCAGTAACAGATGGCCCAAGTACTTGGGTCCCTGCACCCACATGGGAGACCTGGAAGAAGCTTCTGCCTTAGGACTGGCCCGGCTCAAGCTATTGCAGCTATTTGGGAATTGAAACAGTGGATGAAAGATCTCTCTCTTTCTCTCTCTCTCCCCCTTTCTATAACTCTGCCTTTAAAATAAATCTTTTAAAAAGTAACAAATTATCAATAAACATTAAGTTTAATAGATGAGAGAAAATCATACCTTTACAAAGAACTTTGCTCCATCATCATCCCCTGAAAACAGTTCTGTGAATCCCAAGTAATTAAGGGAAGAGCATAAGACATTATTCCTAGGATCTTCTTTCCCATCCTAACCTCCCAGTAAGTCCAGGATATGTATAAAACTAACATTCCTAGCTGCCAACAGTTAATCAGCAATCAAACTGTTACTATATACCAAACATTTCGGAAAGATCATCTTTCTTAGCTCATGATAACCATTCTTTGAGATAGCCACTACTATTTGCTCATTTTATGGGTGGAAAGTTAAGCTCAAGAAGTCAAGACCCTAACAGAGGAAGATCCTGCATTTGAGCCCAGGACTATTTGGCTTGAAATTCAGGGCCAAAACATCTCACCGGGGATGAAGGTGCCTCCTCAGGTATTTTGTCACCATCTGGAGAGTACGTAGTTGGTTGGCTGTTTAGGGAATGTCATGGAATTTAATGGATGATCCTAGGGACAAGGTGGGGTGAGGGCTCCTGCAGAGTGTGGGCTGTGCTGCATAATGAACAATTGTGTTGCCTCGCAGACAGTATTGAGATACTTCTCTGGGAAACCATGTGACAGATTATAGGTAGCAGAGCTTAGAAACGAACTGCACATTACAGGAAGCATAAATGTTTGTCTTGTCTGGTTTAGGTACATGTTGAATTTTTCAGGTATCCAACTTTGATACAAGGGAAAATTGCTTTCTTCTGTTCCAAACTTTATTAAGTGTTATTCATCATTATAACAAAAAAAACTCACTGATTGTGATGAGCAGTAGTACTCATGCCATTTGAGTCATCAAATCATTTTATCAATCATATAAAGCTGGACCTATCTAGCTATCAATATAAAAATCCCACAATATACTATTATGTATAATATACTAAATAGTAAGATCTTCCTCGACAGTCAGAACAAGGGCTGATCAAGTTATTGCTTCTCACAGTGTCAGTTTCACTTCTACAGGTTTCCTTTTTGGTGCTCAGTCAGTTGTCACAGATCAGGGAGAACATATGATATTTGTCTCTTTGGGACTGGCTTATTTCACTCATCATGATGTTGTCCAGATTCCTCCATTTTGTTGCAAATGACAGGATTTCTTTTCTTTTAACCACTGTGTAGTATTCCATGGAGTATATATATCCAATAATTTCCTTATCCAGTCTTCACTTGATGGGCACTTGGGCTGATTCCACACTTTAGCTATTGTGAATTGAGCTTCAATAAACATATGGGTGCAGATAACTCTTTTATGTGCTGATTTCACTTACCTTGGGTAAATTCCCAGGAGTGGGATGACTGTGTCATATGGTAGGACTATATTCAGCTTTCTGAGGTATCTCCAAAATGTCTCCCATAGTGGTTTTACAAGTTTACATTCCCACCAACAGTGGATTAGAGTAGCTTTTTCCCCACAGCCTCACCAGCATTTGTTGTTTGTTGATTTCAGTATGAAAACCATTCTGAGGTGAGGTAAAACCTCATTGTGGTTTTGATTTGCATTTCCCTGATGTCTAGTGATCCTGAATACTTTGTTCATGTGACTGTTGGCCACCTGGATTTCCTCTTTTGAAAAATGTCTGTTTAAATCCTTGGCCCATCTCTTAACTGGGTTGTTTGTTTTGTTGTTGTGGAGTTTCTTGATCTCTTTGTATATTCTACTTATTAATCCTTTATCCGTTGCATAGTTTACAAATATTTTCTCCCATTCTGTCAGTTGCTTCTTCACTATCCTGCCTATTTCTTTTGCAGTACAGAAGCTTCTCAATTTGATGTAATCCCATTTCTGAATTTTGGCTTTGATTGCTTTTGCCTCTGGGCACAAGTCTTTGGAGGCAGGATAATTTTATAAAGAAAGGTTTATTTAGCTCCTAGTTTTGGAGCCCCACAGTACAAACATCATGGTATAGGCTGACATGGGGGCTCCTCTTGGCTGTATCACATCATGATAGATAGCAGTGGTGAGAGTGAGGGGAAGAGATCACATCGCATAACAGGACATCAAAGAGAGACTGAGGCCTCACACCCCTTCTTAGGGCCCTCCCCTAGCTGACTTTAGGATCTTCCACTGGCTCCTACCTCTAGAAATCCCACCTCCCAACATCACCAAATTGAGGACTGAGCTTCCAACACAGGACACTTGGGGAATAAGCTATACCTAGATCATAGCATCACAACAAATAATGTATTATGGTAGATACAATTTAACTACATTATAATAGATTGAAACATTAAATATTAACAAATATAAAAAATTAAATAGTCACTGTAAGTAGGTATAATGTCTGGTTTTTTATGTCTTTCAGCATAGTTGTGCTGGGATATTTGTATATTAAAATGTAAATGACTTTTTTAAGCTTACTTTTCTTCTGTCTTCTAATATAGTGCAGTCAGTGTATTAGCTTTTCTGGGAAGATTATACTGAGTGAAAAGTCCAGAGATCTTCCATACACCTTCTGCTGCTCCACACATGCATAAGCCTCCTCCACTGCCAACAGCACCTGCTAGAGTGTTACATTTGTTATTACTGAACCTACATTATAAATCACAATTACTCAAAGTCTATACTTTACATGGAGGTTCTCTGTTAGTGTTGTATATGTAAGGAATCTGCACAAATGTATAACATATACTCACCATTACAGTATCATACAAAGTCTTTCTAAAGTGTTTGGGCATTTTGGAGGTGCATAGGCAGGTTATATACTTTCTTTGAATTCTACTTCAGGATATGGAGAGTGCTAAGAAATGTTCGTTATGAGAGTGGAGCATTGATTCCCCTGGGATAAGAACCACTGAGGTGGAACCAGGGCCAAAATCACCAGAGTGATTTCATCCCTGCCATAATCCTTGCTTCTTTATCATGGGGTTTTGTTTACTTTCTTGTCTTCTGAGAGCATCTGTGCTCTTGCTCAGGGTTTATGTTCTCTTGAATTTCCCCATGTCTGCCTGGGGTGTCAGGCATACTGAAGTCATGTAGCACTGTGAATGATAAAATGGATGCTGAACTGAAGATGACTGTAAAGTACAACAGAAATATTTGGCAAAGAAAGAAAAGCTTGCCTTCCATGCCCCTTACAAGATGTTATGTGGAAAGATAACAACAAACTAAAACATAATCTTTGGCATCGGGTTTAGTCCTCAGAACTGGAGTCAGACTCCAGGGGAATCAAGTTAAATCCTATTGCTTCCTGTCTGTAGCACTTCATGTCAAAATCATGTTTAGAATGGAAGTTTTAAAACTCATCCCCTAAGGAAAGGTTCTCAGTAATTTACAGTTTTCAGTCAAGGTTTAAGAAATGATGAGAGATGAAATGCTTGGAAATTTATTTGGGAAAAACAACCTGAAACTTACCATTCAGCAAACACACAACTGCAGTCTCCCCATTTCACCCCAGCCCCCAACACGAAGACTTAAATACATCAGCCACCATTTTGTACAAGTATTGTTTTCATTTATTTGCAATGTCTCCCTCTCAGGTTTCTAAGAGACTGCAGAAAGTCACAAAAATTAATAAGGAAGTGTCCCTAGCTTTTAACTAAACAAATCTCCTTTGACCTAACAAAGAACAAACCCCAATCAAAGCTATGTGCTTTGTACCACACCCTGTGGCCATAAATCTAGGCTCTCTCCACTGGAAAAAGAAACATGGTTCAGAAGGAAAAACAAGTTTCAGCTGGTTACCATGATGATTAACTAAGGAACATGACTTCCCCTGGCTCACCCACACAGGTAGCCCCAAGGAGATGCTGGGCAGCCAGGCACCAGGTGTGTGAGCCAAAACCAGTCTGTCAAGAAGATGAGAACTCAGCAGCAAGGATGTCAGCTTATTAATTATGAAATCTTTAGGTACGAGTATCAGTTACAGAAAAACAGGTATTTTTCTATTTTGTTCCCAGGGTTAAGCCATCAATTTGTCTTTTAATGTAACTCTGTAAATTATCTTTAAAAATTTTTTTGAAAGAGAGAGATGGGCCAGTGCTGTGGTGTAGTCGATTAAGCCACTTCCTGCAGTTCCAGCCTCCCATATGGGTGCCTGTTCGAGACTCAGCTGCTCCACTTCTGATCCAGCTCCCTGCTATGGCCTGGGAAAGCAGTGGAAGATGGCCCAAGTCCTTGGGTCCCTGCACCCATGTGAGAAGTCCTGGAAGAAGCTCCTGGCTCCTGGCTTTGAATAGGCACAGCTCCAGCCATTGTGGCCAATTGAGGAGTGAACCAGTGGATGGAAGACACCTCCGTGTGTGTGTGTGTGTGTGTGTGTGTGTGTTTGTGTGTATCTGACTTTAAAATAAATAAATCTTTCAAAAAAAAAAAAAGAAAGCAAGATAGACGCCACTCCCCTTGTCAGAACTGGGCCATGCCAAAGCCAGGAGCCTGGAACTCAATCTGGGTTCCCCTACATGGGTGGCAGGGACACAACTACTTGAGCCATCACCTGCTGCCTCTCAAGGAGCACATTAGCAGGAAGCCAGAGTGAAGCCAGAACTTGAACAAAGTACATTGATTTGGGATGTGGGTGTTCTAACCAGAGTCTTAACAGCTTTACCAAACATCTGCTCCTGTGCATTGATTTTTTTTTCAGCTAATGCTCCTTCCAATTCAAGTGCTCCTGAGACACAATTCTAATTTTATGGGTTTTTTACTTGGTGAAACTGATGAGCTGGCCATATTATATTGAACTGTTGGAGGTGTGAGGAGAGAGCAGTTATGAAGCAATAATACTTGGAGAATGCACCTCCATCTTACAAAAAAATTTAGCAATTTTGTTACAGCCTGTGGGAGAAAAATGTCAGCATATTTCTCATAGAATAATGTTGACTTAAAGGTGAAATCTGAGTTTTAAAAGAGGAACTTTTTTTGTCCATAAATGCAGATGACTAAGGTCAAAAGAATTATGTTTGCTCGTTCAACAGAACAGAGATAGAAGATGAGGAGGGTACCTTGAACCTAATGCTGTCAATAGTAAGGACAGCCAACATATATTGGGGCCTTGCTCTGTGTTTAGCCCTATGTCATGCACTTCTTACCATCTGTGTGTTCATCCCAACAGCACTGCTATTACTTTCATTTTACACACGAGGCTGAGGCAAAGATACAATAAGGTTTGCAGAGTTAGTAATACACAGAATTGGAACGTGAACCCAAGTCTGTCCACCTTCATAAGCTCAGCATTCACACACCTTAGGATGGTCCTGAGTGATCTGGAGAACTCACTCACAACTACTTTTAAGCCCCATTCTCCAGGTCATTGTCACTGGAATTTCTAGGCATTTTCTTGGTTATCCTGGCCCTGGTCCTATCCCTCCAAGTTACTTGTTCTTGCAATCAAGGTCTTAGAATTATACTCATTACTTTTGTGTGGTGGTTTGGAGTATAACTATCCAGTCTTAGAAAACACAAGAGGAGTATAACTTTATTCAGGTTCAATGCTGACAATGCTTGGAACTTTTTAGCTAAAGAAAAATGAGTCCACTGCTGTAATTTCTCTAGCTGTAATACTGGAAGTACTGTGATTAAGAATGCAACCAATCTAGCTTGAAGTCTACTTCAGACTTCTGAAAGGATGCTTGCAAATATTTTCTCCAATTCTGTCAGTTGCCTCTTCACTTTGTTGAGTTTCCTTTGCAGTGCAGAAGCTTCTTAGTTAGATGTAACCCCATTTGTCTATTTTTGTCTTTATTGCCTGTGCTTCTGGGGCTTTTCCAAGAAGTCTCTGCGTATGCCAATGTCTTGCAGAGTTTCTCCAATGTTTTCCTCTAGTATTTTGATAGTATCAGATCATAGATTTAGGTCCTTGATCCATTTTGAGTTGATTTTTTGTATAAGGTGTAAGGTAGGGGTCTTGTTTCAATGTTCTGCATGTGCAGATCAAATTTTCCCACTACCATTTATTGAAGAGACTGTCCTTTCTCCAGGGATTGATTTCAGCTTGCTTGTCAGAGATTAGTTGGTTGTAGATACTGATTAATTTATGGAGTTTCTGTTCTGTTCCATTGGCTTACATGTCCATTTTTGTGACTGTACCAGGTTGTTTTGATAACTGCCCTGCAGTATGCCTTGAAGTGTTGTATTGTGACGCCTCCAGCTAGCTTTGTTTCTGTTAAGACTGCTTTACCTATGAATTTTAGCATCATTATTTCTAGATCTGAGAATAATATCATTGGTATTTTGATTGGGATCACATTGAACTTGTAAATGGCTTTCAGTAATATGGACATTTTGATATTAATTCTTCCAATCCATGAACATGGAAGCGTGTGTGCGTGTATGTATGTGTTCTACTATTTCTTTCTTTAATGTTACAGAATTTTCATTGTAGAGATCTTTCACATCCTTGGTTAAATTTATTCCAAGGTATTTAAGTTTTATTGGCACCAACTGTGAATGGTACTGATATTAAAAGTCCTTTCTCAGCTATAGCGTTCTTTTTGTTTACAAGGCTATTGATTTTTTATCCTGTAACTATACCAAACTGTCTTGTGAGTTCCCATGGTTCTTAGTGGAATCTTTTGGTTCCCCTATATATAGAATCATGTCATCTGCAAACAGGGATAATTTGACTTCCTCCCTTCCAATTTGTATCCCTTTAATTTCTTTTCTTTGCCTAGTGGCTCTGGCTGAAACTTCCAGAACTATACTGAATAGCAATGCTGAAAGTGGGCATTCTTGTCTGGTTCAAGATCTTAGTGGAGCGGCCGGCACTGTGGCATTTCAGTTTAACACCCTGGCCTGAAGAACCAGCATCCCATATGGGTACCAGTTCGAGTCCTGGCTGTTCCACTTCTGATCCAGCTCCCTGCTATGGCCTGGGAAAGCAGTAGAAGATGGTCCAAGTCCTTGGGCCCCTGCACCCATGTGGGAGACCGGGAGGAGGTTCCTGGCTCTGGATCAGTGCAGCTCCGGCCATTGCAGCCAATTGGGGAGTGAACCATCAGATGGAAGACCTCTCTCTCTCTCTGCCTCTCCTCTCTCTGTGTAACTCTGACTTTCAAATAAATAAATAAATCTTTAAAAAAAACAGATCTTAGTGGAAATGCTTCCAATTTTTTCCCATTCATATGATGCTGGCCACAGATATGTCATAAATTACCTTGACTGTGTTGAGGAATATTCCTTCTATACCCAATTTGCTTAAGGTCTTTATCATGAAAGGATTGTAATTTCTTTTTTTTACATTTTTTTTAAAGATCTATTTTATTTATTTGAAAGACAGAGTTACAGAGAGAGGTAGAGACAGAGACAGGGACAGAGACAGAGACAGAGACAGAGAGAGAGGTGGGGGGTCTTTCATCTGCTGGTTCACTCCCCAGATGGCCACAACAGCCAGAGCTGTGCCCATCCAAAGCCAGGAGCCAGGAGTCTCTTCGAGTCTCCCACATGGATGCAGGGTCCCAAAGACTTGGGCCATCTTCAGCTGCTATCCCAGGCCATAGCAGAGAGCTGGATCAGAAGAGGAGCAGCCGAGACTAGAACCGGCGCCCATATGGGATGCCAGCAATTCAGGCTGGGGATTAACCCATTGCGCCACAGCGCTGGCCCCTTTTTTTACATTTTTTAAACTTTTATTTAATAAATATAAATTTCCAAAGTACAGTTTATGGATTACAATGGCTTTCCCCCCCATAACTTCCCCCCCACCCACAACCCTCCCATCTCCCGCTCCCTCTCCCCTTCCATTCACATCAAGATTCATTTTCAATTATCTTTATATATAGAAGATCAATTTAGTATATATTAAGTAAAGATTTCATCAGTTTGCACCCACACAAAATATAAAGTGTAAAATACTGTTTCAATACTAGTTATAGCATTAATTCACATTGAACAATACATTAAAGACAGAGATCCTACATGAGGAGTAAGTGCACAGTGACTCCTGTTGTTGACTTAACAATTTGACACTCTTGTTTATGGCATCAGTAATCACCTGAGGCTCTTGTCATGAGTTGCCAAGGCTACGGAAGCCTCTTAAGTTCGCCAACTTCAATCTTATTTAGACAAGGTCAAAGTCAAAGTGGAAGTTCTGTCCTCCCTTCAGAGAAAGGTACCTCCTTCTTTGATGGCCCGTTCTTTCTGCTGGGATCTCACAGAGATCTTTCATTTGGTTTTTTTTTTTTTTTTTTTTTTTTTTTTTGCCAGAATGTCTTGGCTTTCCATGCCTAAAATACTGTCATGGGCTCTTCAGCCAGAGAAAGGATGGTTATTTCACCAAATACTTTCTCTGCATCTATTGAGATCATTATGATTTTTAAAAAAGATTTGTTTATTTGAAAGACAGAGTTACAGAGAGGGAGGGAGGCAGAAAGAAAGATAGATAGAGAGAGAGAGAGAGAGAGAATCTTTCCTCTGCTGATTCACTTCCCAAATGGCCTCAACAACAGGATCTGGGCCAGGCTGAAATCAGGAGTCAGGAACTTCATCCAGGTCACCCATGTAGGTACAGGGGCCCAAGAACTTAGGCCATCTTCTGCTGCTTTTCCTGGAGCATTAGCAGGGAGCTGGATTGGAAATGGAGCAGCTAAGACTTGAACTGGTGCCCATGCGGGATGCCTGCGCTGCAGGCAGCAGCTTAACTCATTATGCCACAACAAATGCCCCATCATATGGTTTGGAAGTGTCAATTCCTTCTGTGTTCCCAGTTTACTGCAAAGCAAATTAGGTATCCTACCCTTCTGAGGACTCTTTTTTGTTTTATCATGAGCAAGTCAGGATAAAAGATTGCAAATCAGGCCTTTGATAAGTTTTGTCCAGGCCTTGTAAATAAATGTCAATTTTTCCCCCCAAAATTGTGTTAAAACCACAGTACCACTGGCTCCTTCAGGTTTTGTGTCTCTTGGAGCCCTCCTCCATGCTATTCTGGCTGGAGGTCTTTGGCTCTAATAAATCTTGCTTTTAAATCTCAAAAAAATAAAATGTTTCTTAATAGTTCTGAAGACTGTGAGGTTCAGCATCAAGATGTTGGCATCTGGTGAGGCCCTTCTTGCTGAGTTACGACACAGCAGAGAGCATCAAATGGTGACAGAAAGTAGTCTGTGTGCTCAGGTCTCTTCTCCTTTTAGAATGCCACTAATCTAATCAGGAGGCCTCACCTTCATCATTTCACCTAACCATATCCCTCAAATAGCCCAACTCCAGATACCATCAACATATGAATCTGAGGATTCACTTTCCAACATATGAACCTTGAGGACACAAACAAGTGCAGTACCTGAGGATACAGCTCACATCTCAAAAAACAAAAATCAGGTTCAATAATTGATTCTTTTCAGCATAACTAGTCGATTCATTAACATCCATTAAAGATGGCCAATGAATTCATTTTTAAAATTTCACTATGGGGCCAGCACCATGGAGCAGTAGGTTAATCCTCCGCCTGCGGTGCCAGCATCCCATATGGGTGACGGTTCTAGTCCCGGCTGCTCCTCTTCCAGTCCAGCTCTCTGCTATGGCCTAGGAAAGCAGCAGAAGATGGCCAAAGTCCTTGGGCCCCAGCACCCACATGGGAGACTGGGAAGAATCACCTGTCTCCTGGCTTCGGATCGGCACAACTCTGGTCGTTGCGGCCATTTGGGCAGTGAACTAATGGATGGGAAACCTTTCCTTCTGTCTCTCCCTCTCACTGTCTAAAACTCTACCTCTCAAATAAATAAATAAATACATAAATAAAATAAAATAAAATGTCACTACGAATTCATAGATTTTTAACCTACTTAATATGTTTTTGTGTATGTGTGTGTTTCCAGAAACCTTTTATTTAAGGAACACAAACTTCATCCATTTCATAAGTGCAACTTTAGGAACTTACTGATTTTTCTCATTGTATCTACTCCCCCACCCACACTCCCACCCGTGTTTCTCCTCCCTCTCCTATTCCCATTCTTATTTTTCACTAAGATCTATTTTCAATTAACTTTATATACATACGATTTACTCTATACTAAGTAAAGAGTTCAAAAAATAGTATGAAAAAAACCTGTTAATGTTTTAATCCACTGTTTTATTGTCCCATCTTTGGTCATTTGGAGCTGTTTTAAGTTTGTTCTTGAGTCCCCGACTTAAACTTTGTTAATGTTCTAGCAAAGGGCACAGAGACATTTTCTAGAACCTATTTTCATAGAGCAGTGGTATCCGAACTTCTTTCATTGAGAATTCCCATCAGAAAATATTTTCAAACATCTAGCTCCTCTATATGTTTACATATTTAGAAATTATACACATGTGCTATGATCTAATATGCTATGTACCTGGTAAAACACCCCTAAGTACAGATTTTAAATGAAGAGATAAAGATGAAATAATAAACTTTTTAAAATGAGATCACTGGAAAAGCTCTCTTAGCCAACACGACAGCAGAGACCCAAGAATATCAGCTATGGCAGAGAGCCCCACCTTTGCTTGATGAGAAGCCAGGGTCATAAAATAGATTGGGATGCTGGGTTCTATCACTGGGGCCTGGAGTACTCAATCTGGTTTCCTGCCAAGAGTTTGGCATGAGCTGGCCCAGATACTCCAAGCATTCTGGCCTCCAACCAGGTCCATTCAATATCCAGAAATCCGAGTCTGTGTTTAGGAGAGGAGACACACGACACTGTGCAGACAACTTGAAATATCTCTCTTCTCTGAGAAGGAAACATTTGCAGTTAGAAAAGTACAACTTCCTTTAAGAAGAGCAGCAACTTTATTTAGAAAGGATCAATAAAGCAAATATCCAGAGACAAAGTTTTTCATTGATTTTCCCATGCTAATAATCGAAGCACTAAGATTAGCAAAAGTTTGTGACACAGATTGATAAACAAAGGCCTTGTTTAAGGGATCTGATGGAGACAGTCAAACTCTCAAGTCAAGATCACAAGCAGACTTCCTCTGTTGTGTTTTCATGATGTAGTTTGAAACATTTGGAAAATTGTTCCCCCAGCCATCTAAGCTGCAAAGTTTTGAGTTTGTCAATAGTGTTAAAACACATTTAGAAAATTATGGGGGCCAGCACTGTGGCACAGTGCATAAAGCTGCCACCTGCAGCACAGGCATCCCATATGGGTGTTGGTTCAAGTCCCAGCTGCTCCACTTCTGATCCAGCTCTCTGCTATGGCCTGGTAAAGCAGTAGAAGATGGCCCAACTCCTTGGGCCCCTGCACCCATGTGGGAGACCCAGAAGAAGCTCCTGGCTCCTGGCTTTGGATCAGCCCAGCTCTGGCAGTTGAGGCTACTAGGGGCCCTCCCCCTACCTCTGTCTCTCTGTAACTCTGCCTTTCAAATAAATAAATCTTTTTTAAAAAAGAAAATTATGAAACATCACAGAGTTAAGATTTTGTTGCAATAATGGAACTCGCTATCTCTGATGTATCTCGACATAAAATCAACTTTGATGTTTCTAATAACCTAAATCTTTGTTCTCCAAGACAATAAAAAGTCAGGACAGCATTTGGCTTGTGAAACTGTGGTCACAATTCCCTGCCACTTTTTTGGGTAAATGTTTAAAAGCAATTTTGAATAATTTATCTTCTGACAATTTCTAAACTTAAACATGCAAACTTTGCTCATTTTCATTTGGAGTTGTAGTGAAGAAGGCTAAGAACTGGAAGAAACTTAAGAGAACAAATTAATCTTCAAGAGAAAGTAGAAAATTCTAAGTGGTTCATCATTTGAAATTTTATCCTAAGGTAGTCATTTCTTTGAGTAAAGGATTCTAACTCTGTAAGAACAAATGCAAATATGCCAAGGGAGCAGAACATCATGTTGCTAACATTTTGTGTGACTCAGTAGTGTATGTGTTTTTTTAGTTAACTCATTTATTTTAAAGGCATAATTACAGACAGAGAAGGAGAGGGAAAAAGAGAGCGATCTTCCATTTGCTGGTTACTACCCAGATGTCCACAACAGCCAGGGCTGGATCAGGCTGAAATCAGGAGCCGGAACTCCATTTGGGTCTCCCACAAGAATGGCAATGAGCTCAAGCACTTGGGCCGTCTTCCACTGCTTTCCCAGGCACATTAGCAGGGAGCTGGATGGGCAGTGGAGCAGCCTATACACAAAAGTGACACTCATATTGGAGGCCAGCATCACAGGTGGTGAATTAACCCAACATACCACAATGTCAGCCCCAAACCATTAATGTTTTTAAACTGATTAGAGGGATTCAGGCACGGACACTCTGCAACTTTGGGGAGACAGGCTCTTCAAATGATGAGAAATCATTTTGCATATTGACTTTTTTAATGTACTAGCATTTAAGTCCTGTTTTTGTGATGGCAACCACTTTTCACTTTAAAAAATGAAGTCCAATTTTAGGATCTACACTAGATAGATCTCGAAAGTTCAATTCTTGAGAATGGAAACTAAAGGCCCAAACTGAAACCTGAAGAACCTCTTTATTTTTATCACACTCACCTGTAACTGAAAAGAGTGCTGTGACACTGACCCATTACAATTAATATTTCTGAAGTTCTTAGGAATCTAAACGAGTTTTCTACACTGAGCATTACTAATTTGTCCAAGAAAGGAGACAGACAACATCATCAGGGAAACTCTCCCATTTCGTCTGGTTTCTCAAGTGTATTGAGTTATTAGAGGCCCCCGGCACTGCGAGATGACAGTATTCTATTATTTAAACAAGTAAAAAGAATTCCAAACCAGAAAATACTTGCAGGGACTCTAGTAAAGGAGTGGATTTTTTTCATTTGTTTCAAATATAAACATAAAAAATTTTAAAAAGAGGTTTCTAGTGTTTCTTCTAGGCTGACTGAGCATGCCTGATGGTCCCTTGGCTCGTTCAATTCCAGGAGTTTTCATCACAAAAAGCAACTCGCTACAGAAAAGTTGGCTAGTGTCAGGATTTCAGTCCCTTGGGTACAGACTTATCAATTAATAAAAATGTTTTATTATGCAGCTGCTTATACTCAATGTTGTGCTAAGTACTGCGGAATTACACCAACGGAGTTTAAAGATCTTAATTGGCTTTATTTGTGATTGTAGAACTGAGCAACACTTCATTCCATGAAATGGAGTAAGTGAACTGAGCAAGAGAGACTGGTTTTACAGAGAAAGGCTGAAGGAAGCCGAACCAAAGAACAAACAGTGGACTGGTCATTTTAAAGTTACTTTTCTTGTAAGACTGGGGAAGGTAGACAGAACAACAGAAAGATAACTGGTTAGTTAACATCAAGTTACCTCAGATTAATTTTTGGGGGTAAAGATGGAAGCAGAGGAAACTATTATCATGGCAATAGAAAGTAGACTATTTGGGAATTACCTTATTCTCTCTTTCTTTCCTGATCTCTCAGATAACAACTTAGTTTTGGTTTAGCGAAATGAAACTTTATTCATTTTTTGAAAAATGTCGTTTAAAAACTATTTATTTATTTGAAAGAGTTACAAAGAAAAAGAGGTGTGGAGGGAGAGGGAAAGAGGGAGGAGCGTAGAGAGGAAAAGGAGGAGTGGGAGAGGGGAAGAGGAGGAGGGGAAGTGGGGGAGGGGGGAGAGAGACAGAGAGACAGAGACAGAGAGAATCTTCCATTCACTGATTCACTCCTCCAATGGCAGCATGAGCTGGAGCTGGGCCAGGCAAAGCCAGGAGCCCAGAGCTCCATCCACATGTCCCATGTCGATGGCAGGGGCCCAAGGAGTTGGGCCATCTTTTGCTGCCTTTCCCAGGTATATTAGCAGGGAGCTGGATTGTAAGCAAAGCAGTTGAAACTTGAACTGGCACTCCAAAATGGGTTGCCAGTGACAGAAGCAGTAGCTTAACCTGCTGCCCCACAAAGCTGTCCCAATGATCTGGAGTTTTGTACAAGTGGCTCCATTTGATTTCACTCTGGTCTGCAGAGACCTGGTGAAACTTACTGCAAAATAACAACCTCCAATAATTCTTATTTAACACAGGGAACTCAAAGGTGTGTAAGTATGCAGGTGGTCATTTCATTCAAAGAACCTAAAATCAGGCAGAGAAAGATGAATAGTATTTTAAAACTAAGAGAACAATCAAATATCAGTTCTTGAACTATGTGGATCTAGACCAAGTACCTGGGACGTATTTTTTTAAAGATTTATTTATTTTTATTTGAAAGACAGTTACAGAGAGGCAGAGAGAGAGAGAGAGAGAGAGAGAGAGGGGTCTTCCATCTGCTGGTTCACTCCCCAGATGGCTGCAATGGCTAGAGCTGGGCTAATTTGAAGTCAGGAACCTGGAGTGTCTTTTGGGTCTCCCACGTGGGTGCAGGGGGCCCAAGGACTTGGGCTATCTTCTGCTGCTTTCCCAAGCACATTATCATGGAACTGGATCAGAAATGGAGCAACTGGGACTTGAATAGGCACCCATATGGGATACAGGAGGCAGCTTTACCAATTATGCCACAACGCTAGCCCCACTGGTAGGTACTTTGGAAAGAGGTTGCACACTTGTTGGTTCTTTTTAATGTTAATGTTATTTTACATTTTGAGTAAATAATTTATTCGCAGGTTTCAAAATTCCAAATCTGGGGCCAGTGCCTTGGCTCACTTAGTTAATCTTCCGCCTGCGGCACCAGCATCCCATATGGACGCCAGGTTCTAGTCCTGGTTGCTCCTCTTCCAGTCCAGCTCTCTGCTGTGGCCCTGGAGGGCAGTGGAGGATGGCCCAAGTGCTTGGGTCCCTGCACCCGCATGGGAGACCAGGAAGAAGCACCTGGCTCCTGGCTTCAGATCAGCACAATGCCGGCCTTGGTGGCCATTTGGGGAGTGAACCAATGGGAGGAAGACCTTTCTCTCTGTCTCTGTCTATAACTACCTGTCAAATAAATTAAAAAAAAAATTCAAAATCCATTCCTCTCTCGCTATCTATTAATTCCAGTTTCCCTCCTCAAAAGCAACCAATATTATTGCCTTTAAAAATATTTTAGAGGCACTTTATGGATATATAAATAGATGTGAATACAGATCATATCCCCAAGTGGTAGCCATTCTGAGTCTTGAAACATGGAGAGGTAGCATGGGAGACATGAATAATTTCTCTGGGGACTCTTTTATTGGGGCACTAATCCCATTAAGGAAGGCTTCACCCCCATGACCTAATCATCTCTGATGGCCCTGCAAACACTAACCTTAGAGGTCAGGATTTCAACATACAAAGTTTGGGAAGATATGAACATTCAATCCATTGCAATTACTCTGTTCGGAAATTTTTTTTTAATTGCTTTGTTGGGTCGGTTAACATTTATCTGTTAATCTAAACTGTTTATTTTTCTCTCAAGTGGGAAATGGGAAAAGCTTGATTTGTGTGTGTGTATCTGTGTGTATGCATATACAATGTATTTAAGTGAATTGTGAGGGGTGGATCATGTGATGTGACGGTTAGGAAATGTCAAGGCTGTCATCATTAGAAGTTATCCCTGTTCTGCTTTTATCAGTGATTCTTGCAGTTTTCTGGTCTCAAGATCCATTTTTGTCCTTAGAATGTATTTTTTATTTTTTTACAGGCAGTGTTAGTGAGAGAGAGAGAGAGAGAGAGAGAGAGAGAGAGAGAAAGATCTTCCTTTTTCCGTTGGTTCACCCTCCAAGTGGCCGCTACGGCCAGTGCGTTGCGGCCGGCGTGCTGCGCCAATCCAAAGCCAGGAGCCAGGTGCTTCTCCTGGCCTCCCATGCGGGT